ACAGAGCGAGAGTGGGGCGCGCGCCCGGCCCGGGAGCGCGCAGGCCCGGGCCGCAGTCGGCCGGGTTCGGCCCGGCTACCTGGGGTTACTGGAGTTCCAGTAGACAGCGTGGCGGAGGCCGGAGCCCCCTCGCAGCGGGGAGCTGAGGAGCGCGGCCCAGAGGACAGTCCGCAGCAGGGGCAGCAGCCGCATCGCCCCCGGGGTCCGCTCTGGTCTGGTCCGGCCGGTCCCGGCCCGCTTCTCTGCCGCCGCGAGAAAGGTACAAAGTGGAGGGGGGGGGTGCGGAACTGGGGGTGGGGTGCAGAGACTCGCAGGCCACGCCTCCGGGTAACTTTCCACCAATGGGGGCGCACCCCCGCCTCCCCGCTCGGAGCCAACTCCTGTTAACCCTGTGTGCGCCGAGGCGCGCGCCAGGCTCGCGGCGCTCCCACCGGGTCTGCACCGTGTCACGAGGGGGCGGGAGGGGCGACGCAGTCCACTGTCGGGGAGTTCGTTTTAGGGAGGTCGCGTCTTTCGTGTCTGCGTTAGTACCGGGTAGGTAGGAAGCCTTATTACAAATTGGGAAGATTTAAATAGGAGCACACGGCCTTTCCCCAGAAAGAGGAAAAAGTGAGGCACGGGCGAGGACCCACGAAGCCCGCCCAGCTCCACCTTAGCATATTGCCCCTTTTTGCCTATTCAGGGATAGCGCGGAGTGGAAGGGACAGATCGCCTCCTGCGACAGATCGCCCCTCACCCTCTCCCTCCCCTCCCCCTTACGGAGCCTTAGTGCCCACCTTGGGGTTGGCGCCTGTCCCTTTACGCCCCACACCTTCATTCTGGGCTGGGGGCCCACGCGGCCCCATTCCCGAAGTCGAAATAATGAGGTGGTTGCGTCCTGTACAAAGCACCTTTGTTCCCAAGCCCTCAGGTGGGGCAGGGGAGGGGGAGGAGGCAGGTGCACGGCCTTGGGATCGTGGGAGCCGCCGCCCCGCTCCGCCCCGGCTCCAGGGCTCTGAGAACACCAGCCAGATCCACTTTTCCCAGCTACTGGTCAGAGGGTGGGGACGGCGGGTCCAACAGCTGGGCCGGTTCGTGGATAGCCGCCTCTGGGGGCCATGCACACTTGGGCGCAAGGACTTGGCGACTGGGGGCGGCACGGGGATTTACAACTCCCTGGATACTGGATTGCGCGGAGTCATCCCAGACTGGGCAGAAACCAGCCGCGAGCATCCCGGGGACACACACGCTGACCCAGCCTGGGACTCTTCGCCCTCCCTAGCCCGCCTACGTCCGAGGCGGCAGCGCCTCCTGGCGGCCAGACCTGGAACCGCAGCAGGGCGACCTGGCCTTCCCCGAGCAGACAAAGTCCGAGGCACGCTCCCCAGACCTCAGGTTTATTGCACCAGAGCAGGGACAGGCTGTGTGCACCTCCCTCAGCCCAGGACGGCGCCCAGCCCCTTCCCATCCCCAGCTGCAACTGCCTGGCGGGTCCCTAGGGTGCTGCTCGTCGGCGCGTGGAGGTGCCCGGAGTCTTAGGCTGCCCGCTCCGCCGTGTCCAGGCTCCGGCTCCTTCAGTCATCGCGGGGGACTCCAGGGGCCAGTCCGCCTCTTGAAGTCCTAAGTCCGGCTTGCAGGCAGCGGAACCTCAGCAGAGGTCAGAGGTAGAGCGAGGACGCTGCTGGGGGCGGCGGCGCAGGCCTGGGGTGCGGGAAATCGAGAAAAAAAAGGTCAGAGGTCCCCCTTTCCCCAGACCATTCGCCCGGCGCTGGTATCCCCTGCACCCACCTGGACGGTACCACTAGGGGCGGGATTCCAGCTCCTGGGCCAGGCAGGTCACCCGAAGGGCGCCGGCCCTGGGGGTTGGCAGGCAGTGGCTTCCTCGGCGGTGGGGGCTTGGCAGGCCCCTGAGACTGAGAAAGAAAGCGGGAGGCTGGCTTGGGAGGGGGTGTCGTGTTGCCCACCCCTGTTGCTGGGGAGCACCAGCTTGTGGGGCCGGCTCCAGAGGTCACCTTGGTTCCAAACCAACCTGTCGCCGTTAAAGGACACCAGGGTATGTGTCCTCATGCACAGAGGGGGCATCTCACCATGGCCACGACTGCCAGGGTTATTAACACCACAGTCCTGAGTGGGGGAGAGGCGGCACCCTCCTCTCCCCACGTTACCTTCGGCTGCCTCAGCACCGGGTCGGCGGGCAGAGGGCGGGTGGGGGGATTGGGCCGGTCAGCCAGCTCAGCCTGAACAGAGAGAGGGGCAGCGCCGTGAGCACAGCCAGGGGCCAGCGGGCATGCAGTGGTTCTCTCCAGGGGTTCAGTTCAACATGCAAAGTCAGCCAGGGAGCAGGTGAGAACAGGGCCATGCGTACAGGGCTTGGGCGCCTGCCCGCAGAAGCCTCAGGGGAGGAAGGTATGGGTCACAGTGGTGTCCCAGGCCAGCTGCAGTCCTGCCACTGACCACCAGGTGGTGGTAGAAGCCAAGGCAGGAGGCTCACCCTTTGCAGCTGCTGGGGCTCAGAGTGTCTGAAGGCTGAGGGGCACCCTGGTCCCCTAATGAAGAGCGCCACTGGCAGGGAACAGGGGTGAGAACTGCAGTGGGGCACCAAGCCTCCCACCTGCCCTGGGCCAGGGCGGGGCCTGGCCCGGATTTACCTGGAGTCTCTTGGGCACAGGGTCGGGAGGCAGCGGCCGGGAGGGGGGTGCCGGGAAGCCAAGAATACTGGCCTGCTGAGAGAGCATGGGGAGCAGACAGCGGGATCGGGGTGGGTGGGGCCGGGGAGAGGGAGCACGGACACAGATGTGGGCAGAGAGGGGTTAGTGCCTGGGGAGGGGCTGCCAGGGCCCCAGGGGCAGTGGGAGGCCGCGCATGCAGTTGCTTGGCTGCATGCAGAGGGGGCGACGAGTGGCAGAGTGAGCATGCGGACCACCTCCACACACACCCCTGTCATCAGCTCCAGGGGCTTGCGGGGCACTTGCCAGCCTTCCACACATGGTGACCTGGGTCTCATCAGGTCATGGCGCCTGAAGGCCATTTCGGAGCACCACCCCCCTTGTCCTCCAGGGGCCCCTGCTGGGAGCACCAGCAGACCCACCTCTCAGAACCACCAGCTTGGCCCTCCTCTAGGTGATGTCCCTCCCCAGTCCAGGCTGGACTCTGCTTCTGGGCCTGCAGCCAGGGGAGCGTAGGGGAGGGCTGGCCCCGACTCCTCTGACTGACTCGTGGGCAATGGGAGTCTTTCTCTGAGTCTAGGGCCTTCAGTGCCCCCACCCCAGGGCCCACGCTGGATGCCTGGGCAAGGTGGGGCCTCTCTCCTCTGGTATGCATAACTTACCTTGGCCCCTGGCATCAGCAGGATGCTCTGCGGGGGTCCTGGGCGCTCTGGGGGACCAGACTGGGCTGCCCTGGACGTGAAGAAAAGCAAGGAGGGAGAGGGCCCAGCGTCAGACCATGCTCTCCACCCACACGCGACCCTTGAGTGGGGTTGACCCTTTGCAGCCCCTTGGAGAGCAGCTCGAGTGTGGTTGAGGCCCAGTGAGAAGTGGTGGGGGGGCTGAGGGGCTTGAGGGGGGTCCCCACCTACTCAGCACAGGGCTCCCCAGCTGCCCTCCGTGGGTCTGGGTGTGAGGTGAGGAGTGACAGGGCACGTGGAGGGGAGCGAGGCGTGCGTGGGCTGGCCCAAGGGGCTGGCGGTCAGAGCCCGGTGTCGGGCACTGCAGCGGGACTGGGGACAGGACTGCAGAGCCGTCTTCAGCAGAGCCGTTGAGCGAGCTGGGGGCAAGGAGGTTCGTACCTATACTGGCAGCTGGGTCCCTTGAGCTGACAGAGCCGTTGACGCAGGCGGGCACGGTGCCAGTAGCTGGCCCCCAGCAGCAGCAGGACCACCAACAGCAGGAGGCTGAGGGGCAGCCCTGTGGTCAGGGGGCTGGTCGCTGTGGGGTGAGGGCAGGTTTGAAGGTGGGCAGGGCTAAGAACCCTACACCCAGGAAGGGGTGGAGGGCGGGGACGGAGGTAAAGTGATCGGAGAACGGGAAGGGGTCAGAGGAAGGGGGGGCGGTAAAGGGTGAGCCGCGATGCCCTCCCAGCTGCCCCTGCCCGCTGCCCCCAGCTACCTCTGACGCGGTTGGTGCAGTCAGGGGCGGCCCAGCCCGCCTCACAGTGGCAATGTCCTTTGCTGTCGCAGACCTAGGGGATAGAGGTTGAGCGATGAGGGGCCCTACACTCTGGGGCCGCATTTCCCTGCCCCCAGCGTTTCAGGATCTCCTCTGTCCACAGTTGGAAGGTATGCTGGGGATGATGGGGTGGAGAGACGGAGCCTGTGTCCACGGCCGAGGAAATGAAACCGAACGAGCCCGTGAGCACCTTCTCCACGCTGGCACTGTGCTAGACCCTCTCGTCCTCATCTCCCAGACCCCAGGATGCCCACTGGGTGGCTGAGGAAACTGAGCTCAGAGTGGTTAATAATCTGCCCCCGGCTACACAGCTAGGAAGGAGTAGAGCGAGGATTAGAACCTAGTTGTGTGTGTTCCCCACGCCCTCCTGTCTGCCCCCCGGAGGCTCCCTGTCCCCTTCCGTGTCCGCCACGCCCACTCACCCCGTGTCCGTGGCATTTGCTTCGACATTCCTGGGCTCGCAGGACGTCCACGGGCTGGCACCGGCGGTCAATGCACACCTGCCGGGGGTGGGGGGGTGGGGAGAGAACCAAGGTCACAGCCTCACCAAGCGTCAGGGGCACTGGCAGGCCACAGCCCTGCTCTTACAGAGGGGGAAACCGAGGCTGCCAGGATGACAGGACGCTGCTCAGTCGGCAGTGTGACTCTGCCCCCCCCCCCCCCCCGGAGAGTCTGCCTTTTACACTGGTGGACCCTGAGGCCTGGGCACTACTCGTGCACACGGCCCTCCCTCTGGCCTTGCCTGCTGGGACCGCTCACCAGGTCAGGCCCACAGGCCGTGCCAGGCAGAGTCAGCAGGGGCTGGGCCACGTCGTCGCCCAGGTCCAGGTGGACCCAACTGCAATTCAGCTTCAGCTGGGTCCCGTTGGCTTCTAGCATCTCCCAGCGCAGACCCCGGGCTGAGCCGAGCAGAGGCTGGGCCTGCCCCCCCTGGCACTGGAGCTGCCCGCAGATGGCGTCTCTGAGGTAACGAGGGAGGAGGTGCGGGGTCAGGCCGAGGCTCCCACAAACCCAGAGGGGACCCCCGGCTCCTCACTTACTTGGGGGCGCAGGACACGTAGCTGCCATTAGGGCTGCGCCCACAGCTCCCAAAGGCATCCCCTCGAGTGTTGGCAGCAAGGAGGCAAAGCGGCGAGGCGGGCCGGGCCCCAGGTCCCCAGAGAGCCTGGCACTGCTGGGCATACGAGGCGCAACGCCCCCGCACGCACACGGCCTGGCCCCCCGCACACGGCTCGCCGTCTCCCAGGCTGACGTCGGGAGGGCACTGCGGGCTGTCTCCTGAGCAGAACTCGGGTAAGTCGCAGTCCCCTCTGGACGGGCGGCACTGCCCGCCGGCCGGGCGCAGCTGCGGGGCGAGGGAACATCGGTGTGGGTGCTGGGCGGGTCCCCCCGAAAGACCTTTCCGCCCCGAGCCCCGGCGGGTGAGCGGTGGGTGGCTGGAGGGTCCCGTCGGCGCCCACCTGGCAGTTGTGACAGCAGAGCCCGTCGGACGCGCACCGTGCCCCGGGCCTCAGTTGGCAGCTGACGTAGTCACAGCAGGGGTCGGTGCAGTCCTGAGGGCAGAGGGACCCCGAGTTGGAGAGGGCCAGGCCTGAGAGCCCGCCCCACCCCTGCTCTCCGAGGACGCACACAGCGAGTAGAAGCTGGAGGCCCACACGGCCTGTGCTGTCCCCGCAGACAGACGGGGAGCTGCGGAGAGGGGACCGAGGGGCTCGGCTCGGACGCTCGGGGAGGGGCGGCGACCCAGGGTGAGGGCCCAGGAGGGGTGGGGCCAGGCTTGGGGGGAGGGGCTCACATCCGGGAAGCCGCAGTCACACTGCTCGCCGGGCTCCACCAGCTTATTCCCGCAGACAGTGGCCAGAGAGGGCAGGCTGGGCAGCCGTTCAAAGAGGCAGCTGCCCATCCCTTCCAGCAGGGCTTTCTCCAGGGCCTGCCGGCTGCAGTTGCTGAAGTTCAGGCCCGGCAGGAAGCTGGGGACCGTGGCAAGAAAGGTTGGGGCTGCGGGCAGCCTCGGGCCCTGCCCGCCCCCTCCCCCGACCCCCTGCAGGGACTCACTCCGTGGAGGCCTCCATGATGCAGCTCTTGGCAGGGGCCGGCCCTGGGCAGGGACAGCTGTGCCCGCGCAAGTCGTGGTCCAGGCCCAGGCTGTGGCCCAACTCGTGAGCTATGGAGGATGCAACTCCCAGGACACTGGTGGAGTGGTCCTGGCATTGGGGAGGGGACACCCCAGGTCCAGCAGCAGCCTGACTGCTCCTGTTCTCTCCTCATCTGACCTCCGGGGCGCTCAGCACCGCCTCCCTCCTTAATTGCTTCTAAAGTAGGAGGAGAGCCCAGGCCTGGGTGGCAGGAAACCGGGGGCTTGCTCAGCTCTGTGCCCCTCCCTTACTGTGTGGCCCTGGGCACTCGCCTCTCTTCTTTGGGCTCGGCTACCCCCTCCTCCCCCAGGAAATAGGTGAAGACCAGTAAAGCGGTCAGCTGGCCACAGGAGAGAGTGCCACGACCGCAGAGGCCACGTGTCATACAGCCCTGCCCCCATGCCCACAGCTCTGGGATTGGTAACTTTGTAGGGCTTTCAGTGAATCAGCGGCCCTCCAGAGGGGAGGAACTGAACTGGGAATAGGGAGGAGACCTGAAATAGCTCACCATGTTCACACCTCCGGAGAAGTCAGAACAGATGGAGTTCTGAATGGCCATGCCCACCGTGGGCCCAGAGAATGAAGTAGCGCTGTGGGATTGTGAGGCCAAAGTCAGGCCCAATGCCAAGGGGTCCAGAGCTTCAGGGCCTCAGATAGGGAGGGGGTGTGACCCTGGCCAGGCCAGAGCAGAGCCCGGGCGGGGGGGCTTACGTCACCAGCTGGGCACTGTCGTGGTGCAGTCGAGGCAGCAGATCTCTCCGGCGCCAGTGGAGGAACCTGTCTAGCGTGAGACCTGGGTCCTGGCTTATCTCCACCAGGTCCCGCTGGGTCCAGGCCTCCAGGCCCACGAGCACCACCCGCACATTCAGGGGCCGGAAGAACTGAAAGAACTGGGGCTCAGGAGATGGGCTCCGATGGCCAGAGGGCTGTCAGGGTGCTGCCCCGCCCAGCACTCACGGTGTCCAGGAGGAGGGTCACTTTCAGCATGCGGTTCAGCAGGTGCTGGGAGTCCGGGTACCTCTGGACCTGCGGGCCCGAGAAGTGAGCAGGAAAAGCAGCAAGACGGGTGGGGGCCCGGGGGGAGCGCACATGGGCCAGCTCACCTCCGCATGGTCGGCCACGATCACCAGCTCGACGGTCTTGGTCTCTGTCACCACATCCCGCCTCCGCTGTGGGCGGAAGAAGGAGCATCAGGCCCAGCACTCTCACGGCCGGCAGCCGCACGGGGCTGCAGGAACCGCGTCCACGCCCACCCTGGGCTGCCGGCCGGAGGAGAGCAGAGCCCATTTTACAGATGAGCCACTGAGAGCCCGCGAGGCCAGCGACTTGCCCAAGGTGGACCCAGGAGTAGGTCACGTAGCTGGGAGTAGAGCCTGCTTTCTAACTCCAAATTCAGTGCCTTTTCCAAATTAAAAAGAAGACAATAGGGGCACCTGACTGGCTCAGTTGGGAGAGCGTGTGACTCTTGGTCTCGGGGTTGTGAGTTCGAGCCCCACAGTGGGTGTAGAGATTACTAAAAAATAAATAAATAAGCTTTAAAAAATAAATAAAAAAATAATAGTCAACACCATCATATACTTATCACACTTTAGGCACACTTCTAAGCACTGTGCATATGGATAGATAAATAGATAGATTCAGTTAATCTCCACAATAACCCTGAAAGATAAGTAGTTTTATTATCCCTGTTTTTTTTTTTTTTTTAAGATTTTATTTATTTATTTGAGACACAGAGAGAAAGCGAGAGTGAGAGAGCACAAGCAGGGGAAGGGAGAGAGGGAGAGGTTGAGAAGCAGGCTTCCCGCCGAGCAGGGAGCCCGATGTGGAACTCGATCCCAGGACCCTGGGATCACGACCTGAGCCGAAGGCAGATGCTTAACGACTGAGCCACCCAGGCGCCCCTATCATCCCCGTTTTATAAATCAGAAGATTGGACTCATATTGCTTTATGACTGGTAACTGTATTATCTCTAGCCAAGTGAGCGCTCTCTGCGTTCGGGGATCTTCTGACAGATGTGGAGTTTGGGTCAAGTACCTGCATGTAAATCCTGGATATATCAGTCACTAGTTGAATGACTTTGGGCAAGTTACTAACCTCTCCGAGCCAGTGTTCTCACTAAAATGGAGCTACTGATAGGACATACCTCCCAGCATTGTTGGGAAGAGGAAAGGAGATTATGTTCACACAGGGGTGTGGACAGTTGCTCCTCAGAAGGTTCTGGGAACACAGGGCTCTGAGGGTCTGGGGCCTGGCCCTCGGGGACAACGAAAGCCTGCTGTTCATCCTCACCCGATGCGTGTGGCTGTGGGGCCTTCCCCGGGGTGGCTCCAGGGCAGCCTGGGTGGGCACAGACGCACGCCAGCGCAGGGCACAAGTGTGGCCTGGCAGGAAGAGGTCTTGGATCCGGGAGATATTCGGGGGGGCCCGGAGGTCCCCAGGCTCCAGGTCTAAGGTGTAGCTTCTCTCTGGGGACAGGATCACCAAACCCCTGGGAAGATCCAGCAAGTCAGAAAGCCTCTCAGCTCCATGCCTCATGCACCCTCACTGTCCCCACCCACACGGGATGCACCCTCTGTACCTGAGCCCTGAGCAGGTGCAGACAGAGACCCAGGAGCCCATGCGGCCCTGCACCACTCCCTGGTAGCAGCAGTTCTCCTATAGCAGAGAAACAGCAGTGCTACCTTGAAGGCCAGGCTGGAGACCAGGAGGCTGGCCTGCTGGTGCAGAGATGCAGTGTCCTCCCACGTCCTGTAGGGATGGCACCCTCCAGGTGGCCCCTGCCTTCTTCCCTCAGGCCAGAAACGGGGCATAAGACTCACCAGAGTGTGTCCCACACTGAGCACACGGGAGCCGTCAGGCTGGTACCACATCAGGCTCGGGCGGCCTGGGACTAGCTCCCTGGAAGAAAAAGCAAGGCGGTGACAGTTACCTCCCTGGGGGGGGGGGGGTGCAGGAACGGCCTGCAGGCCTGGGGGGTGGTAGAGGGGTGGCTGGGGGCCGGGGTTCCCCCAGAGGCAGCAGAGTATAGTGGTTGGGTCACAAACTCTGCCCAGCTCTCTGTGTTCTAATCTGGTTTTTACTGCACCTAGCTGTGTGACCTTGGGCAAGTTAGTTAGCCTCTCTGTGCCTTGACTTCTTCATATATAAAACGAGGACAGCAATAGCGAATAGTACCTGCCCTGTAGGTTGTCATGAGTTCAAGCGCTAGGCAGTGCTGTATGGTTGTCCGCCACGTTATCCACATTACCAACGGGACCACTGGCATTGTTACCTGTTCCGTAGCAGCTCCAGAATGTGACTCTCACCATCCAATTCCAACTGGATCCGCAAGGCCTCAGGCAGCTTGGTCTGTGGGCAGCAGAGGGCCTGTCACCTCCCTGGCCCTGCCCGAAATGCCTATCCTCTCTAACCAGAAAACCTCAGGCCCTTCGGAGAGCACCAACGATTAGATCACTGGTGGGGGTGGGGGGGTCCCGAGGGAGGGGCCAGGAAGCCCTGCCCGGCCTGGGGCATTGTTCTGGGGGGTTGTGTGGGGAGGTCAAGGAAGGTATCTGAGCCGCCCCTTCTCGGCTTCCTGCCCAGAGAGGAAGCATCATGGAAGACCCAGTGCAGGCCCCAGCCCTTCCTCTGACTCAGCTTTGGAATTGGGGACGGGGGGTGTTTGGTGAGGCCCTGACCTTCTCCAAGCCCCCCGCTCCCCCGGGGAGAAAAGGGACAGAATGAGACCACGAAAGCAAGTCTGGCCTCAGGGTTTCCCCAGCGGAGCCAGACAGCCGGCTGGGGCGGAGGCTGGGGCAGGCGCGGGGGCAGATGTTGAGGGCATAAGTGAAGCCAGGTGCTGGCCTGCGGCAGGAGGGGCAGCCAGCCCTGGGATGGCCGCGCTGCGCGGGGGTCCACTCACCTGTGCTCAGACACACGGCTCTGTGGGGTGGCAGGGGTGTGCTTCTTCACTTGGGGGGAGAGGGCGGCTCACCTGAAACACCTCTGTGAGGCTGAGTGTCGGGATGTCCGGAAGGATCTGGGGCTCCGAGGGTCCACGCAGGGCCCCTTCTGGCCGTGCCCGCTCCTCCTCAGTGCCACCTGCAGGGCGCCCAGAACACCCCGAGAGGGTGCTGAGAGAGCCAGCACCGGCGTTGGGCATAGCTGGTTCCCACTGGGCACCGGGGCCCTTCTCTGCTTGAAGGACTCCTGCATTGCATGCTGGGACTTAAAGGAGAATCCCGAAGGGAAGGGTCTTCTCTGCGGCTCCCAACTTTCATCCCAGCACCCCACCTTGCACGTCCTGCCTTCGCCTCTCCCTGACCCCCCCCAGGCCAATCCCAGGTTCTGGCGGGGAGCTCCCTTTCCTACTCCCTCGCAATCACCCCCCTAGGAACGCCCCCTCTCAGGCCTGGGCGAAGCCCTGTGGCCCGGTGCCCACTCCGCCCTCCCCTGTCCTCACTGCGGAGCTGCCGGGAACGCCCATTTCTGGGTGCGCAGTGCAAACACCCCTCCCTAAACACCCCCCTACCCAGTCACGCACACCCGATCGCCGCAGCCCAGCTTCCTCCCTGAGCACCCCCGTCCCCACAATGGCCCTCTCTCTTGAGGCCAGCCCACCCGCGCCTGCCCTTCCAGCCCCTGGCCCGAGACAGCAGCGGGAAGTGAAAGTTCCAAGGAGGAGTCCGGTGTCAGCCTCTTTCCTGGCCAATTCTCCCCTCCCCTGGCTCCTCCCGCGCTCCCTCCCGCTCGCTCCGCCGGGTTTCTGGTGGCATCATCATCAGGGCGAGGGGTGCGTTGGCCACTCAGGCCTGGGAAGGGGGCCCAAGAAGAATCCTCTCCGCCAAACCCTACCGGCCGTGACCACTCGGCGCTCTGGCACCAGGTGGAATGGTCAGCTAGGCCCCAGAGGAGCGAAGACGTCAGTCCTGGGGAGGTGCGACCCTGTCCCACCATCCTGAGGGGGCGCTGGGCCAGGGCCTTCGGTGCCCGGCACCGGAGCCTGTTAGTGTCCGCGGGGACCGAGCAGAGGATGACCGCGCGGGGGCGGGGGGGCGGCATCCCCCTCCTCTCTCCACTCCATCGCCCAGGCGCCGGGCCCTCAGCCAGGACAGCGAACTAGGGCGGGCCGCGCTCTGGTTGGGGGTCTCCCCGAGTCTCCAGCCGACCCCCGTGCCTCCTGACTTCCCTGCGCCTCCTCCCGGTCCATTCTCCGCCCCCCACCCCCCGCGCACTGAGGGCCGGGCACTCACCTATATCTGCGAGCGGCCGGGGGGACAGAGGGCTGCCTGCGCCCAGGAGCCCCAGGGCCCAGAGCAGCGCCAGCCGCATGGCAGCGGCGCCCCGGGCCGGGCGAGGGC